ATATTTCGTAATGTTTTATTTCTAAAATTTTAATAATTTTTGGCATCTTCACTTGAAAGCAGGGCACGATCTACCACTGCCTCTCTGGCTACCCCCGCCCCACACACACACACACACTCTCTGTTTACACTGCAGTCAAAATGATCTCAACATGCAACTCTGACCTTTGACTTGCCTGAATCGTTCTGTTCTATGCTCTCACAGAACCTAATACCTCTTCTTGAAAACATTTACACAGAATTTAAGCACATTTGTTTTCTGATTTCGCATTTATAGGATTAATTGCGTAATGCCTGTCTTCCCTATTCTGCAAGGGCAAGGACTGACTATGTTTTTGCCCAACACAAAGCATGGACACAACAGATAACTCTTTTATGAATGAATGACATCCCTGCACTAAGCACTGAGGATAAAAATTTAGCTTCTGCCTTTATCAGACGAATGGACTAATAAAAAGCCAAACCTGTGAGTGAGTCATGGCAAGACAAAGAGATAAATAATACTTGACAGTGATACAAAGGTATGGAAAGGAGCAAAGAGCTCGTCCTTGGAAGAGTCTAGAAAATGACATTTGAGCTGTGAATTTCCATGTGAGAACCATAATTAATTTTATAGCCAATTCTTCTTCCTCCTTCAATTCCTAAATTTTGCCTTAACTTGAGCCTATGGGTTGCCCCACTGTGTATTCTTGCCCACTGAGAGAGGCCATGACTTACAGGCCACAGCGACCTCTTTGGTGTGGGATGGTGGCAGGGCAAGGGCAAGGAAGATAAGCATTAGCCGGTCATCGTCTATGTGCCGGCTCTCAGCTCAGTGGGTGGGATGAGGAGCACAACTGTTAAGGTGTACAGGGATTATTTTCCCTTCTCTGTCACTTGCTATGGATGTAATCCTAAGCACATTTTAATTAATCTCCCCAAGCCTCAATTCCATCATATGTTAAATGGAATAATGTGATTTGTCTCATAATGGCTGTAAAACACAGAGCAAATGTTTAATAAGTGTTGTGTTTGCAGCCGTAATCTAGCTGTTGTGAAGCTGAAAGGAAGAGCTATCTTGGGATGGTCTGTGAAGGCGTTCCAAAGGAAGAGGACATTGCCAGAGGGATATCAAAAATTATTTTTTCTTGCTACTAGGAAACAGCAATCCTGTTCTCAAAAACAATTTTATACTTTGATACAATCCCACAACTATTGCTCTCATTTATGGTTCTTCTATATCTATTCATTTCACAGAGCTATCCTATGTGTTAGGTTGTGCTCTATTACAATTATGAATGCGCTACAGGCTTTAGAACATGTGGATAAAGGTTGAACACCTGCATCAGAATTGCCTGGGAAGGAATCAAAGATGGAATATCTTCAGTCATTCTTACAACAATCACCTTGGTTCCATAATGCTAGTTTGTATCATTGGGAGAAAGTTTCCACTTTGAATTTACATTCTAACCTCATGGCAGGAATATACAAAATTGTAACAATTTGCCCTTGTATTCCTGTGCTTTAAAGGTCCTTCCCTGAACTATAAATAGCCCACTCCTTCTTTTTATGTATTTTAAATTAGACATCTCCTTCTGGGAAAGGCCTGTTTTTGACCATCCAATCTAAAGTACCTTCTCATCACATCAGCGCATTTTAATTCTCTGCACAATGGAGAATCTCTTTTTCAACTGTTTGTTCATTCCTTCAATCATTCATTCCTCTTCCCTACTAGAATGTCAGTTCCCCAAAAATAGGAACCTATTCTATTCCATTTCTAAAATATGACTGTTTTGAACCCAGTGTTATTGAACCCTTCTCTGTGTCAGCACTGTTACAGGACACAGTGGTTTGCAAAACTGACCCAGTCCTCATGGAGATAGCCTTGAGGGAGACATATATTTGTCAAAAAAGACAAAAATAAATAAGCATATAAATACAAATTATTGTAATTACTCCGGCGGTCCTAGACTGGGGAATTGAGGAGGTTTTCAGTTGAGGTTTGAAGAGTGAATACAAGTCATGTACGTACACGAGGGGCAAGTGTAAAGTGTCACGTTCCCTGTGGGGCGAGAGCATGCGTCGGTGGGGCAGGGGCAAGGGACCTGTCTCAGGACGTGTGGCAGCAATAAGGAAGTGAGAGGAACACATTCAGGAACTAGAATAAGGTCTTGTGAGTTGGTCCCCAAATGCAAAGTAGAGATGTAGAATTAGAGATGAGTCTGGAAGTTGGTGGGGAAGCCAGAGCCAGGAAAGAAATTGAGGCATCATTGCACATGGATGTCAGTTGAAGCCATTGGACTAGATGAGAAAGAAAGGAGGGAAAGGAGTCTAAGATGGAGCCAGGATTATCATTAGAAGTCACAAGGAGAAGTAAGAGCCAATGGAGGAGATTGAAAGATGCTAGCCAATGAGGTGGAAAGAAAACCAGAATAGAGCGTGGTC